GTGAAAGGCTCTGCGAGAAAGCTGGCCCTCACCAGACCCCCAAATTGCCAGCACTTGGATCTTGGATTTTCCAGTGTCTAGAACTGTGAGAAATAAATTTCTGTTGTTTATAAGCCACCAAGTTTGTGGTGTTTTGTTATAGTATCCTAAATCAACTAAGGCAATGAGCATTTTGGGTTGTTTCCATTTTGGGCTGATTTGGCTGTGCTGCTGTGAACTTTCCTGTACACATTTCTGGTGGACACATGCATGCATTTCTGTTGGGCATAAAACTAGGAGTACAATTGCTGGGTTATGGGGTGTGCAGAAATGCAGGTTTAGTAGATACTGACAAATAGCATTCCAGAGGTTGAACCAAATCACACTCATTCCAGCAAACTGCACAAGTTCCAGCGACTCCACACCCACTTCAACGTTTGCTCTTTTCTGCCTTTTCAGTTTAACCATTCTGATGGGTAAGTGTCTGAGTTTTGTAATGCACAAGGGGATTTGCTGGAGTACATTGTTAATAATAATAGTGATCATGATAATTAATAGTAATACTTGAAGAGTTAAGCCATGGAGTGCATCAGTCCTGTTTTTGGCTTCAGCCCTTATGGAGATAATTAATTTGTGACTTTTGTCCTCACAGTCCTCTCCTTGGCATCTACAGAAGCCTGCCACCTTTATTGCAGTTTTTGAAGGTACTTTGCAGCTTGAAAGTCCGCCCTTTGGGGAGGTGCTGGGCCCTAGAATGTCTGCTAAAGCCAGACACAAGGAAGGGGGCTGAGATAGGTAGTATCTGGTTTCTGGAGACTTCCTCTTTGCCTGGAAATTAACCACACTAAAGTATCTGCATCCCCTCGTGTCCCAGGTTGCTAATTCAGCAAGGGGCCCTCTTGAGTCAATCCCAGAAAGCTACTGGAGCCAAAGGAAGCTGCACCGCAGGGAGCTACCAGGGCAGAAGCGCTTGTGGTGTGCTCAGGGTCAGGGAGGAGGTCCCAATACTCCCAGGTGGATTGGGAGGAGGATGAGTCTAGTAGAGAAAAAAATAATTGTGTCCGGAGCCTCAATGCTAAGCAAGGTGCCTGGGTGTGGACTGTGGAGGGTGAAAATTGAGAGCTGGTGGGAGAACCAGGGGACAAAACAGATGCCTAGGTGGCTAAACCTGGAGGGTAACTGTTAGCACTGGCTGCCTCTGGGAAGGAGAGTAAATGGGTTTTGCTTTACTGGGACAGGCTTTCCTCTGGGCTCCAGATGATTGGGAAGAAGTAACGGAGATGGATGCTGTCTTGAGAGCTTAGCAGCATCTAGCTAGAAAAGCATTGGTGGTGTCCTGGAGCCAATAATCCCACCCAAGCGGAAACCCTGAGAGACCACCTTGGTCTTTCCTCTGCCTCTCTTCAAATTCAGTAATTTCACTCAGGTCGAGCAGGCCTGATGTGCAGCCTGTGGGCACTGGTTTGGCCATGCTGGTGGCTAAATATTGAAAAACGTTGACATCTGTTGCTTAATGGTCACTGTCCCAAGTCTGCCCCACCTCCCCGCCCTAGGACGAGGGAATAAAATGTTAATGGTGAGCACAGTGGGTGGCTTCCAGTCCCTGCCCAGGCTCTGTTCATTCCGTGAAATACTTTATGAAAGACTTTGACTGTCACCTTTGGGAAGATGTTCTTTTCAGAATCCCAGAATCAGACTTGCCTGTCACAGTGGTCTGGGTTGGGATGAACAAGAGAGATGGCAGAGGGGGACAGCAGGGCGAGGCACTGTACGTCTAATCCCAAGACTTGGTTCTGAAGTGATGAATGATGAAGCCCCTGAGGGTGAGGGGGTCTGTGCCTTGTTTTCGGATCAGAATGAAAGAAATAACAATACACGAAAAACTCAAAAGAGAATCTGCATCGGGTACGTGTGCATTCATACTTCTAAGACCAAAGGGGAGAGAGAACTGAATTTAGCTCAGTTAGGGAGCTAAAAATGCGAGACATCACAGTCACTAGAATGAACTACTGAGGCACGTGTCAGGCAATACCCGGCGCAAGTGTGGATCATGAAAGAAAATTCTGTTTAGGGGGCAGGGCAGGGGGGAAAGGGAGCAGGGTTCAGAGTGGGGATCTGGTTTCTAATCCTGGCTCTGCCATTGACCAGCTCTGCGGCCTCAAGTGGTCACTTGCTCCGGGGGTGGGAGGGTTACACCTGGATGGGTTACATCTGGATGCTGAGAAGGATAGTAATAATTCTGACCACGAGGCTGCTTGCTGAAAGCTCTATGAGCTGCTACGTGTGTGTGAAAGGATGAGGAAAGCTGTCCTAGCAGCAAGTACCGATAGAAACGAGGTGGTGCGCGGTGGTGGGAGGCACTCCGCCTATCTGGACATGGGCTCTGGAACATTCTTCCCAACTGCACCTTTGGCAGCAGGATGGAAGGCTTGAACGCAGAGACAGAACAGGATGCGTCTATTCATGGTTTGTGTAAATTAATTTCTGGAACATCATGATAACAAGAAAGAAAGCTTTGTGAAAGTAGCAAGTTTGGTCACCAGAATTCAGTGGGAAGACGATGAAGTTGGGGCAAAGAACACATCTGAGTTTCCGGAGGGAATTTCCTGCGTGGGCAGCGATTTCTCAGGAAGTGCTGCGTGCAAGTTAGTGGGTGAATGTCTTAGACTCTGTGTAGGACCTATAGAAAGAGGAAAAGAGGAAGCAGACACATTTCTTTTCTATTTATTTAGATATGCAGGTATTTTCATGCCCTAATTCCACCAGCAATGTCTGGGGCTTTAGGGCAACCCTCAAATTTATAAATGTCTCTCTCACTGCTTGAAATTCTGCAATTATGGTTTTCCTTCTTTGGGTTTTGATTTTGATCGTCTTTTTAAAAGTTTCAACTATTCCTGGGAGGGGTCATTCACCTGTTTTTAAAAAAAGTTTAAAAAATTTTCCCTTTTCTTTTTTTATCAAGGTAAAATTTACATAAAATTAACCATTTCAAAGTGAGCAACTCAGTGGCCTTTAGTTCATTTGCAATGTTGTGCAAACACCACCTCTATCTAGTTCCCAGACTTTTTTATCACCCCAAAAGGAAGCCTGGTACCTGTTAGCTAAACAGTTACTATTCATTTCCCCCACACTTCCCCAGCCCCTGGCAACCAACAACCTGCTCTGTCTCTATGGATTTACTTTCTGGATCCTTCGTATAAATGGAATCATACACTGTGCGGTCTTATGTGTCTGGCTTCTTTCACTTAGAACAATGTTCTCGAGGCTCGTCCACATTGTAGCATGTGTCAGTGCTTCATTCCTTCTCATAGCAGAGCGATGTTTCATTGTATGGATACACCACATTTTATTTGTCTGTTCAACAGCTAATTGACATTTGGGTTGTTTCCACCTTTTGGATATTGTAAATAATGTTGCTATGAGCATGCGAGTACAAATATTTGTTTGAGTCCTTGTTTTCAATTCTTTCAACTATAAACCGAGGAGTGGAATTGCTGGATCATGTGTAATTCTATGTTTATGTTTAGCTTATTGAGAAACTGGCAGACTGTTCTCCCCAGCAGCTGCCCCATTTTACATGCCCACCAGCAGTGCAGGAAGGTTCCAGTTCCTCCACATCCTCACCAGCACTTGTTATCTGTCTTGTATCTTAGCACCCTCGTGAGTGGGAAGGGGTATCTCACCGTGGTTTTGATTTGCATTTCCCTGACAACTAACGATATTGGGCATCTTTTCATGTGCTTGTTGACCATTTATATACATTCTGTGGTCTCGTCAAGCCAAGACCTCCACCTATTTTTTAATTGGGTTGTCTTTTTGTTATTGAGTTGTAAGAGTTATTTATACATTCTGGATACTAGACCCTCATAAGATGGGTGATTTACAGATATTTCTTTTCATTCTGTAGGTAGTATTTTCACTTCCATTTGCCTGTTTTTAACTGGTGTCTTAGACCCTGCAGGTACGTGGATTTGATTGTCTTAATGTGCCTGTCTGTGCTGACATTCCTCTAACTCACGCACTTAATATTTTTATGTCTTTGGCATTCTTTTTTGTTCCATGGGAAAGGGAGCCCAGAGCCTCACTGGACATTTCTTCTGGTCCCCAGGCATCTGGGAAGCAGGTGGAGTCAGTCACCTGCACGGCCAAGCACCATCGATCTCGGCAGTGTTAGTTCACATCCTGGGAAGTGCCGGCACCCCCTTGGGGGTAGCACTTACACTTAGTTAAGGGACAGGAAGCAATGGGTGCTCCACAGCCCTGCCTTCCTTCTGACGGCTGTTTAGATGTGCCCACAGCATCGGGCAAGTCCTGAGGCTGCTTTAGGGACATGTGGTTAGTCACAATGTGAGGATCATTTCAGGAGCAGGGAACAAAATGGAAGACAACCCAGGCTATTACCTCTCCATGGCCTTTTCTCAATGGCAAAGCACCTAGGTCCTTGGATTCTTCCCAGTGGAACTGAGTTCTGCCCATGTTGTACCAGGCAGTACCTGGCCACATTATCTGGGCTGAATGCCACGTTTGCTTTCCTCCTGAGGACTGGGCACTCCCATCCTTTCCTTTTTACAGCGTGTTCTGTGCAGTAGCCTACCCTTTGGTCCCCTGGGCACCCCCAGCCTCCCGAGGCCCCTCCCGCCTCTTGAGGACTCTTCCCCATCTCCGGGTGAGGAAAAGGCCCTGCAGATGCCGTCCGTTTCTGCCCACAAGCGTCTGTGTCATGTACATCACACTGGGAACCCTGATGCTGAAAGCGATCTGGTTCCCAACACACCGATTACACAGAAAATTAATACACGTGGTAAAAAGCTGGGGCTCTTACTCTTGGGCACTTGTAAAAATATTAGGACACTTAGTTTTTAAAGGAAAGCCATTTCCTGCCACTCTTCCTTACACCTCCCAGAGGAATGGTGAGGTTTCGTGGATACTTTTTCCAGGTGACCTGCTCTAGCTTTGGCGTTTACTACTTGTTTTGAATTGAAATGGTTTTATTACATACATAATTTATTTCTGCCCTACAGAATTAAGGCAGCAGCAGGAGTGAAGATAATGACTGTGAGAGTCAGCAGCGAAGACCAGTGGGCAGTCCAGGAAGAGATCGACAATGGCAGCACCGAGACGACGGCCACCCTCACCTGCATGGGCCATCCCCCGGACACGCGGAGCAGGTGAGCGCCGAGCTCCCGAGGTGCCTTTGCAGTGGTGGGGCTGGCGTGGCTGTGAGAGCTGATGGCAGAATAATGTGTGTGTAGATAAAGCATTGCCTCTTCACTTAATGGGAAATGTGTTCCTTTTAGCTCGTCAGCATAGCTCAGTCATACAGCTCCTGAGCGACTTCACTACAGAGATGTGGCTTTTATCCTTTATGCTCTTTATGCACAAATGACTTGATTAGGTTGGTGGTCCCCAAAATTGCCTGAGTTCACATTTGTCACAGTGCAGAGTTTGATAACTGCATTTTAAATTATTATTATTATTGTTATTGTTTGCGCTGAAGAGTTGAAGAATGAAACGGGAAAAATAGAAATGATTTAAGAGACAGGGGAAAATGTACTTTTTTATGAGCAAACTCGAGGGTAGCTATAGCTATTGGGTAATTGTCCCTCAGTGCTTAAATATAGTCATTTTGCTGATATCACACCTGGGAACTGGTGCATGGCTTGAGAACCTTAAGTTGGATGAACTTGGCATTGCTGGCAGACAGCCTGTCTTCTCCAGCTCAGACACCAGCCTTGGGGTTTATGGGGTTGAACTCATCTGGGAAGCAGAGAAAGGTCATTGCTGATAATGACACCCAACAGGCAGGACACCCAACAGGTAGAAAGAGCTCTCACTCCTGTTGCAACAGCCTTCTCTACACAGTCTCTTCACCTCTATGCTCTTCCCCTTTTATTAAACACCCATCATCTACAGAGTTGTGTGAGTGGTTGGGCTAACAAGCTACCCTGGACTTGCAGCCCACCTGCTTTAAAACCACCATCAGCTCATACTTCACCCAGGCTCAGGCTCGAACTCCTCAGCTTGGCACGCAAGCCCCTTTCGGGTCTGTTACTTATCACCCTATATTGTCACAACCTATTCTCTTTTCTTTCTCCTCTGGTCTTTAAGCTCTTTGAGGTCCACAGTGTTAGGTGCAGAGGAGGCACTCCTTGAATGAATGAGGGAGAGGGAGCATGAGACACGATGTGAGCAGGCAGAGCCTGCCTCTGCCAATGGGCTTGCATGGTGAGGGCTGTCTCTTCTTGGGTGACCCCAACCAACCTCAGCTAGAACTCTCCTCTGCTTTTGAAGATTTCTTTCAAAGGGAGAGAAGTGACTCAGTTTGAGCAATCAAAAGCCTTCTATTAGTAACCATGGACCAAATGATCTGGGTGCCTCTCTCTCTATACTCACTGTCGTTTACATCCATTGACAGAGCTTTCAGTCTGCAACCTCACTTGACCCATGATTTCTCTGGAAATCTGTACTTGCCTGCTGAACACTCCCAAATCCTGGGTGGTTCATATACGGAAAGAGCACTGGATTTTTTTATATTTGCTCAGGTGCTTTCAGTTGCAAGTAATAGAAGAATATCCACCTACAAGTAGCTACTACAATAGGGTTTTATCATTTCACAAAATAGGAAATTTAGAGGTGGGTGATTCCATGGCTGGTTAATACAGCAGCACAATTGTGTCACCGGGTGTTTTCTATCTTTCTACTCCATTATGCCGGGTGCATTGGCTGTTGTTCTCCAGGTCGTTTCCTCATGGTTATGAGATGGCTGCACTTCCTCCAGGCATCACAAACTCATTCAGCTATAGCCAAAGACTGGAGGGGAGGGCACTTCTCCTTATGTGTCTCTTTCTACCAGGGAAGAAAATCTTTCCAACAGTACCCATGGAAGTCTTCCCTTTAGATTTCATCAATAAGCAGTGGGCTCCATGCTTTGCCCAAGAGGCGGGGCAGTCTGGGAAAGTGAATTTCTGGTATTATTTTCAGGCTTTGTAGTGGAACGTGGTCTCTGCTCCAGGGACTGAGGATGGGAGAATGTGTGCTGGGGGGTCAGCTGGCAATGTTTGCCACACTCTTCAAAGATGGTATTTGCCAAGGGTTGTGCTTAACCCCCTGTTTTGTACAGGGGTCCTGTGTGTTTGTATCCCTAGTGGAAGGTTTCCTCTTGGTTGCTTAATTTATCAAGTGGCTTTGACCAAGTGATGCCCTTAGCTGCTGTACTAACGAATTTCCTCATGCAGATGGAGAAGTTGAGGGGTGGACTGGGACTAAGAATGTCTGGGTCAGGTGCTCTTGCAGTATCCTTATCAACCTGCCTCCCTGTCTCTCCTCTGGGTTGGCTTTTTCTCAGGTGGCTCTTCCCTCCCGGAGGCAAGATGGCCCTGCCAGCAGCCGAGCTCCAGCATCCGCTCTGCTGACTCGGTCATTTCAGGGAGAAAGCTGCTCTTCCCAGATGGGTCCAGCACAAGTCCTGGGGCTGGTTGCCACTGGCTCTGTTTGGTGTAGCTTGGGTCATGTGTCCACCCTGAACCAACCACTGTAGCCAGCCCTGAGGTTCAAATCAGCTCCACTTGAAGGGCTTGGGCAGCGAACAGGGAGAGCTCTAGGTGGGCAGTAGATGCTGATGGGGTCAGAAACCAGAGTGGCCACTCCAGGTACCATCATCTCACTGATCCTGATGTTGTGCTGGAGGAGTCCAAATGGATTCCCTGGCTCGACCGACACCCTCGGAAACCACTCCCTGGGTATGTAATGGTGGAGTCCACGGTCTGTACTCAGGAAATTAATTTTTGTTGAAATATTCGACTGACCAAGTGGTAATGTTTTAAATGTAGGCTGTGGTTATCCCTTTTTGGTTTTGAGAGAATAGGTTTTGCATTCTCTTTAGAAGAGATAAAAAAGCTTACACTAGAAAAAAGTAAAGTAGTTACACAAGCAGTTACATAATTAAGAGGCGCTCTCACGTCCCAGCGTCCTCTTCCTTCTCTTCCTTTGCGTTTAGTATTTAACCTCCCTCGGGCTGTAAGAAGGGCAGGGATTGTTACTTTGGCATGACAATTTATGCTTATTTAATATCCTTCTAAAATCCATTCCATCATCTAAATAAATAATTGCTTCTTTTTATACTTTTTTGTTGAATCGTGATCTCAAATGAGGTGTGAAAGACAGGCTCATGGACCATGTTTGCTGGCTAACAAAGGGAATCTATGAATATTTCCCTAACAAAACATCCCGCGGAAAGCTGTAATCTCTGAATTGTGACAACCTTGAGTGGAATAGAGTTTTAAATAGAATATAATGTACAAACTGCCTGAAATTCTGTGATAAGAATTAAAAATGTGTCATAGGAGAAGACCTAATGCACTTAGTTAGAAAGGCAGTAAAGGTCTTAATTTAAAATATTTTAATGAACACTCACTGGGAGGAAATGTGAATAATAAAGATGAAAACCACAAGATAAAGAGTAGTGTTGCCAAAAAAGGAGAGAAGAGATTAGAAAAATAAGCAAATTTGAAAGTGTTGAGAACAGATAACACTGACCCAGGGGGAAATGAAAGCAAGGTTTTGGGCTGTTTGCATGGAAACCACGTGCAGCTGGACACCTGGAGACGAGGTGGTTTCTCGAATGATTTCTGACTCTTGGGTCCCAAACCTCAGAGAAAATAAGCTGCCAACTTTTTATGTCATCAGAAGCCACAATACAGAACCCATTCTCATCTAACAATTGGAATAGAGACAGAGAAAAGCTCAGTGGTCCACTGTGGAAAGAGGATAGAAAAGCAAAAGCCCTAAAACAGATTTCTTCAAAGAAACAGACACACCCACATTGCTGTAACCCGACTCAAGATCAAAGCCACAGACTCACTGGAGAGTGCTACAATATTTGAAAATCTGGAATCAGTCTTTCAGGAGTTTTTCTTTGCCTATTATAATCCAGAAAATATTATACCCACTTGAGCAGAGGGAGAGATCACCATTTTAATTAACTTGACTAACACACTGCTTTTTGTGAAATCTAGCAGTTGAACATTAAGCAGAAAAGCAATGTTAATATAAGAAAGTTACTGTGTCAAGTGTCATTTTATGGATTCATGAAGCATGAGCTAGGCTAAATTTTTCATTGTGCTCCAGGATTCTTATTCAAGTTAAAAATAAAAAAGGAGGGAGACAGTTCAATGATGATCATAGCTGCCTCTGTTTCTAAGTAGAAACAGGTTTTTCCTGCCTGACTCAATTTATGTTGGTTTGTTTCTTCTGTAAAAGATTTTATTGAAGGGTAAAAGAACACATGGAACATTTTGGTTTGTCTCTGAGGACAATTTTGCATGATTCTGTTGTCCATTCCTAATTTTATTTTAAAAATTTATTAAAATTACATATATAATAATTTTTAGGTGTCAAATACTATTTTAAGTCTTTTGGGAGAATGAACTTTTAAAAATAAAAAATATTAGAACCCTGGGAAGTAGGTAACTATTATTATTCCTATTTAGCAGATGTGTTATTTGAGGAACAGTTAAATGACTTCCAAAGGTCTCAGAGACAGTATGTGGTGAAAGCAATCTGACTTTGAAGTCCAGGCTTTGAAGCACCAGCCTAGGCTCTTTGTAAGGCATGGTCAGGTGCCCCTGCTGTGACTCCTATAGCAACCTCCTGCTCTTCCCCATCTTTCAGCTCTCTTGTCCCCATCGGACTGAAAACTCAGTAACAGCAGTGCTCACAGCAACAGCAGACCATCTAGCATGTGGAAATAGGGGCTATAATGGGTTGATGGTGGCCCGTCAAGATATATGTCCAAGTTCTAACCCCCGGAACTTGTGAATGTGACCTTACTTGGCAAAAGGGTCTTCACAGGGGTAATTATGTTAAGAATTTCAGGATGAGGAGATCCTCCTGTATTATCCCTGTGGTCCCTAAGTCCAATGACTGGGGTCCTTCTAAGAGATACACAGAGAAAATGGTGATGTGAAGACAGAAGCAGAGACTGGAGTGATGCAGCCACAAGCCAAGGAAGCCAAGGAATGCCTGGAACCACTGGAGGCTGGAAGAGACAATGAACTGACTGTCCCCTAGAGCCCTCAGAGGGAGCGTGGTTCTACTGACACCTTGACTTTGGGCCTCTGCCTTCTGGAACTGTGAGAAAACAAATCTCTGTTGTTTCAAGACTTTGAGT